AAAGTGTTAGAGAGGTTTAGCATGTCAGATGCAAAATCAGTTGCCACACCACTTGCAAATCACTTCAGATTGTCTAATAATCAGTGCCCAAAGAGTGAAGAAGATGTTGCAGAGATGTTAAAGGTACCTTATGCCAGCGCAGTTGGGTGTTTGATATATGTAATGGTGTGTACCAAACCAGATCTAGCACATGCAGTCAGTGTGGTTGGTAAGCATATGGCTAATCCTGGTAGAGAGCATTGGAGAGCTGTAAAGTGGATTTTCAGGTATTTGAAATGTACAATGGAGTGCGGGATCATGTTTGAGAGACAACATGGTGATATTTCAGTTCAAGGATATGTAGATGCAGATTATGCAGGGGACTTGGATGACAGAAGGTCCCATACAGGTTATGTTTTCACACTCGCAGGTGGGCCCATATGTTGGAGGTCAATGGTGCAATCACTTGTGGCATTATCTACAACTGAAGCAGAATACATGGCGGCAACTGAGGCAGCCAAGGAATTATTGTGGTTGAAAGGACTTGTCAAGGAGCTTGGAATCAAGCAAGATGGAATGAAGCTGTATTGTGATAGTCAGAGTGCCATCTTCCTAGCTAAGAATCAGATTTATCATGCAAGAACCAAACACATTGACGTGAGATTTCATAAGATAAGAGAGTTGGTTACTTCAGGAGAGCTGTTGTTAGAGAAGGTGCATACCTCAGAAAATGCAGCAGACATGATGACAAAGCCAATCACAATGGATAAGTTCAAGCATTGCTTGAACTTGATTAACATCTCTAACTGTTAGAGAAGATGTGTCCCAACCCATTGGATTTTATGTGCAATATTAAAGAGATGAAAAACGAAAATCAATACAAGAATTTTACGTGGTTCGGCAATGTGCCTACGGGGCCTCTCTAATAGCCTTGGAATTTGTTATTTCCATTCATGTGTGTGCATGTGGCTCATATAGAGTGGAACACAGGGCTTGGATCAAATGGGCTGATGTTGGCGCGGGTTTAATTCACTGTCTAATTATTAGGGATGCTGAATGGGCTCGTTGCCCCCGCGGTACGGTACAGGGGTATTTTCTGTATGAGCTTTAAAATTTTATATGGGCTCAGGCTAGGGTTAGTATAAATAATATGTTGTAACCCTATTTTTTACAACTGAATAAAGAAATCTCCGCTTCGCTCTCGTGGACGTAGGCACATCGCCGAACCACGTAAAATTCTTGTGTTGATTTCCGTTTTTCATCTCTTTAATATTGCGCATAAAATCCAACAATTCAGTTGAATATAAAGAATTCAGTTCAGTATCCTTATCTTCTATAATCATAGCTACAGATTCATATACATTCTTATAGAATACTTCTTTCTTTTGAATTCACTCAATGATCCCTCCTCACTCTCGTGTCTCAGACGAGGAAGCATCATGCAGGAGGCACTACAGGTCATTTTCATCAACATCAGACCAGCAGCAATCTCACGTTCTTAACATTTTGGTATCAGAGCATTCGGTTCTGGGAATATGACACTCACAGATCGAGTTGGGGAGTTGGCAGCAAGGTTTGACGCGTTACAAGAGGAAGTCGGGGTGATGAAATCGGATCTCCATAAGGACATGGCGGTGTTACTGGAGAAATTTGATGTGATGATGAAAAAGTGGGATGTACAAGAGCGCGACCGGAAGGAAAAGGGAAATTCACCTGGTTCGACAGAGCCAGCTATGAGTTCTGACGCTCCGCTCAAAACTCAGGAAACGGGGGGCGTTGTGAAAGGACGGTTGCGGCATGAAGAGATGGGGAAATGGGAGAACCGCAGCCGCCGGTTGGAAATGCCGGTGTTCAATGGAGAAGACCCAGATGGGTGGATTTTTCGAGTCGAAAGATACTTTAATATGAACCAGTTCACGAACTGGGAGAAGGTGGAGGCCGTCGGAATTTGTCTTGAGCGGGAAGCACTCGCATGGTTCCTTTGGGAAAACGGCTGGCAACCTCTATCGAGCTGGGAGGAATTGAAAATTCTGTTGCTAGCCAGATTCCGTCCATCACAGGAGGGGACTCTTTTGGAGAAATTTTTGGCGTTGAATCAGGACGGGTCGGTGAAGGATTATCGCCGTAAGTTTGAGGTCCTTGCCGCTCCTCTGCCGGAGATTCCAGAAACCGTGCTAGAGGGGAATTTCATAAACGGGTTGAGTCCAATGATAAGGGCTGAGGTTAGGATGCTTAACCCTCAAGGATTGGGCCAGATTATGGAAGTGGCCCAGCGGGTCAAGGACCGAAATGAATCAGTGAAGAGGGCCCAGTCGTGGAACAACCCATCTCGCAACAGAAGCCCAAGTTATAATCAATTGGCTAGCCCAGCATGAGTAACCCAAGTCACGCAAATAATTTTCCCAAATCAGTACCCGTGTTCCCTCAATCGCATCCCCCGGCGATTACGACCACCCCTAAGCCAATGGCGGTGGCGATCCAGCGGCCGGCAACAGCTATAAAATCGGAAGGCTCCTTCAGGCGCTTGACCTACGCTGAGCTTCAGAGGAAAAGGGAAAAAGGCCTCTGCTACCGTTGCGATGAAAGGTATAATTCGGGTCATAGGTGTAAAAATCGCGAGCTGCAAATTCTACTGGTGCAGGAGGAAGTAAGTGATATACTAGAGGAAGGTTGTGGAGAAGAAGAAGAAGACAAGGTTGGGGATATGGTAGAGTTATCAATTAAATCAGTCGTAGGGCTGACATCTCCAAAGACCATGAAGCTCGAAGGCAGCATTATGGGGTAGACAGTGATAGTATTAATTGATTGTGGAGCTACCCACAACTTCATCTCTGTTGAAGTAGTTCAGAAATTGGCAATACCAATTACGGGTTCAGCGAGTTATGGGATTCTCATGGGAAATGGACTGTCAGTGAAGGCTGGAGGGATTTGTAAAAGAGTTGTGGTCTCCCTGCAAAATATTGTGGTGGTAGAAGATTTCCTGCCAATGGAATTGGGATGTACCGACATTATTCTTGGAATGAAATGGTTGGAATCATTGGGCAAAACGCAAGTGAATTGGGGGACCCTGACTATGCGGTTCAAGTTAGGAGGGGAACCTGTAATGCTGCAAGGTGACCCCGGCTTAGATAAGTCTCAGGTGTCATTGAAGACAATGATCAAGTCGTTTAAGCAGGAGGAGCAGGGCATTTTGCTGGAGCTGGGTAATGTTGGAGTTGAGGCCGGGAAGACCGTTATTGATGTTCCCAACATTTTTGATGAAGTATTACAGCAACATTGCAAGGTCTTTGAAAGCCCCAATGAACTTCCTCCCCAACGATCGAAGGATCATTCCATTATACTGCAGCCAGGGGTGGCGCGGGTAAACGTGCGCCCATATCGTTACCCGTACGTGTAGAAGAATGAAATTGAGAGGTTAGTCAAAGAGATGTTGGCCACAGGGGTAATACAGCCCAGTTTCAGTCCATTTTTGAGCCCCGTCTTGTTGGTTAAGAAAAAAGATGGGAGTTGGAGATTCTGTGTAGATTATCGGGCGCTGAATAAAGTGACGGTGCCTGATCGTTTCCCAATTCCAGTGATAGATGAGCTGCTGGATGAGTTACACAGGGCGAAAGTGTTTTCCAAGCTAGACTTGAAATCTGGTTACCACCAGATCAGGGTTAAACCAAAGGACATTCCCAAGACAGCTTTCCGCACTCACGAAGGTCACTATGAATTTTTGGTCATGCCGTTCGGATTGACCAATGTGCCAGCGACTTTTCAGCATCTGATGAATGAGGTGTTCAAACCTTATCTGCGAAAATTTGTACTTGTCTTTTTTGATGACATTTTGGTCTATAGTCGATCAATGGAAGAGCACTTGCGACACTTGGGTTCGATTTTGGGGACCTTACAAGACCACAAGCTTTACGCCAACAAGAAAAAGTGTCTGTTTGGCCAAATGGAAATTGAATATCTGGGCCATGTGATTTCTGAGAAAGGGGTGGCTGCTGATTGGTAAAAAATTGAAGCAATGGTCAGTTGGCCGAGTCCAAGTAATATTAAGGAGTTACGAGGGTTCTTGGACCTCATCGGATATTACCAGCGCTTCGTGGATGGTTATGCTAAGGTCGCTTGGCCCTTAACTGAGTTGCTTAAGAAATATCGTTTTCGCTGGGATGGGGAAACAGAAGCAGCCTTCCAGAACCTAAAATCAACCATGATTAATGTTCCAGTGCTCGCCTTACCCAACTTCTCACAGGACTTCATGGTTGAAACAGATGCTTCCGATCAAGGTCTAGGGGCAGTATTGATGTAGAACAACCACCCGATTGCATATTTCAGCAAGGTTTTACCCCAGGCCGCCCAACAAAAATCAGTTTATGAGAGGGAGCTAATGGCCATCGTATTTGCCATACAGAAATGGCGTCATTACTTGGCTAGACGACATTTTGTGGTAAGAACGGACCAACGAAGTCTTAAGTACTTACTGGAACAACGTTTGATCAGCGAAGACCATCAAAAGTGGCTGACTAAAATTATGGGGTATCAATTTGACATTCAATACCGGCCGGGACTAGAGAACAAGGCTGCTGACGCCCTATCCCGAGTTCAGCCAACCCTGAGTTTATTAGAACTATCCACTCCTCGCGTTTTGCAGATAGAGGAGATTAAGAAGGAAGTGGCAGCTGATGACATTCTGGGGAAGTTAGTGACTGACCTGCAAACTGGAGGCAATGTAAAAGCTGGATATGAGCTGGTTGAGGGTGTTTTATGTTACCGAGGAAGGGTAGTTCTGCCCAGTCAGTCCCCATTCGTCACTCTCATGTTTCAAGAGTGTCATGACTCTAAGGTAGGGGGTCACTCCGGATTCCTCAAGACATACAAGCGGGTCGCAACAGAAGTCTATTGGCTGGGGATGAAGAAAATGGTGGAGTATGTGGCAAGGTGTGGGGTGTGTCAACAGAACAAATATATCGCTTTATCGCCTGGGGGACTCTTGCAACCATTACCGATCCCAGAGTTAGTTTGGGATGACATCTCCATGGATTTTATTGAAGGCCTACCACGATCCAAGGGTGTGGATACAATTTTGGTCGTTGTGGATCGATTAAGTAAGTATGGGCATTTCATTGGATTGAAACACCCTTCCACTGCCCCCATCGTGGCTGAAATATTTATACGGGAGGTAGTTCGCTTGCACGGGCTCCATTGTATCAGATCGAGATAGAATTTTCATGAGTACTTTCTGGGCTGCCTTTTTCAAAGCTCAGGGGACTGCTCTCAAGTACAGTACGGCCTACCATCCGCAGACCGATGGTCAGACAGAGGTCCTCAATCGGTGCCTGGAAACGTATTTAAGGTGCTTTGCTTCGGGTAGGCCTCGGGTATGGAACCAATATCTACACTGGGCTGAATTTTGGTATAATACTTCCTTCCATACCGCTACCAAACATACCCCTTTTCAGATTGTATATGGCCGAGATCCTCTTTAGATTTTGGCATTTGAAAAGGGAATGGTTGCCAGCTCAGCAGTGGAACAACTGTTATTAGACCGTGATGCAGTCTTGAGGGACCTTAAAGCACAGCTTTCTAAGGCTCAAACGAAAATGAAAGAAGTAGCGGATGGGCATCGCCGTGACATTCAGTTTGCTGTGGGAGATCTGGTTTATCTCAAACTCAGGCCATATCGTCAAAAATCTGTGGCAAAACGGCATTCTGAGAAGCTGTCACCACGATATTATGGCCCATTCGAGGTCGAGTCAAGGGTTGGGCAGGTGGCTTACAAACTGAAACTCCCTGACACTGCAGCTATTCATCCTATTTTCCATGTATCCCAGCTCCGGAAGGCCATTGGTGATATACAGCCAGCGTCTACACTTCCACCTCCACTGACTAATATGGGGGAGTTCATTATGGAACCGGAAGCCGTGTTAGGAGTTCGCCCTAATTCTACTTGGGCAGCAGCAGGACCAGATGTCCTAATTAAGTGAAAGGACCTACCAGAATTTGAAGCAACTTGGGAGCCCTTTGAAACCATCAGATTGCAGTTTCCTAGCTTCCACCTTGAGGACAAGGTGGATTTCGGGGCGGGGGGAGATGATAGGCCCCCAATCCAATTCACCTATGCGAGAAAAGGGAAAAAGAAGGGCACATCCAATATAGAAGGTGGCTAGGACATTTAGTTATTAGCCAGGGGTAAAAGGGGTAATAACTTGTAGTAGGAATTCTAATAAATAGAAGGTGGTTGGCAAGTCTGTGGCAGGAAACCACTGGGAATTCAGTTAGGGAGGGGAGAGACCGGGCCTCTCTAATAGCCTTGGAATTTGTTATTTCCATTCAATTGAATATACAGAATTCAATTCATTATCCTTATCTTCTATAATCATAGCTACAGATTCATATACATTCTTATAGAATACTTCTTTCTTTTGAATTCACTCACTGATCCCTCCTCAATCTCGTATCTCAGACGAGGAAGCATCACGCAGGAGGCACTACAGGTCATTTTCAGCAACATCAGACCAGCAGCAATCTCAGGTTCTTAACATAAGTTTGTCAAACTTACTTTTAAATTATTTATTGAGTCAAACATGACATGATTCTAAATGACATTTTTCACTAAATCTTAGCTCACTTTTTAGAAAAGTAACTTTTAAACACAGAGAAACATGCTATTGTCCAACAGAGTGGTTGATGTATTCGGAACAAGTAACTACATGCTATTTATCCGCACAACTAAAATATGGCAGACAGTAAATAACATAATCAAAAATGTACCAAGCTGCATATGAATCGTTAAAAGAATGAGCATGAATAACAAAACTAACCGAAGCAAGAGCTAGAATAGTAAAGAAGTTCAAGTATTGGGCATGTGACAGGAACCAGCGCTTAATTTCATTTAGCCTAGCAGATATAATGCCATTCTCTTCGCTTGTGGACACATTCAAGTTTTCCATGGCACCCACTCTATCACCTGATATGCTCGCTGTAAAAGAAAATATATAGAAGTCCTGAACAGATTCAATATTAACTAATAGCAGGATAAGACTCTTTGAATTAAAAATAAGACACACTGATCCACGTAAAATTAACAATCAGCATCAGAGTGTAAATAAATTTTTGAAAACTAAGTAGCTGTTTTGCTAATAAGTGTAAGAAAGGTAATTAATTTAAACATTTTTTAGGAATATAAATTTACTTAAAAGTAGCTTCAAGTTATTGTATACTGTGCAAAAATCTCATACCTGCCCTAGAAATAAAATACGGCGGAAGTTCTCCAAGTGCAGTCCCAAGGCCCCACAGGATTGCCTCTAATTGGACCTGGGGCAATATGCTACCAAGCGGAACCTGTGTACCACGTGAAGGCAAAAACAAAGGGGGTCCGAAATCTGCACAATCCTTCCCAAGCCATGAAGGGCCTCTTTTCAATTGTATTGTATCATACGGAGCACTTTTGATGTCTATTCTGCCACATTGCATTGCTTTAATCGTGAATAAAGCAATATGGGGCCCCAAATAGAGAACAAAAGTGTGCAACCCAGATCCTATGAAAAATAAAACAATGACGGGTTTCAATAAAAATTGGATAAGTTGTTGCTACAAAGACAGCAATGGGATTTATTATATTTCAGAAGAATTCAAATAATAGGCTGTCCACCAAATTATATATTTTGATAAATTAAATTCCTCAGCTTGATTCCAATAAAAGGATGAGATTTCTCCAACGTTTTGAAACCAATAGTGTTTAAAGTTTTGGGGCAGGTACAGGTCCACCTACCCCGAGCTTATCCATGATTTTAACTAAAACTAGTAATACAGTAAATTCTAGGATTATTCCTAAAATATCATTCACACAAACAAATAGACTCCACTCAGCAGTTTCATGTCTACAATCCAAATATCACACTTCTAACTCCATTCCCCACCAGTCAACCTGACTGGACACTCCTCCCTTCCAACTGGCTGCTATTCCTGAAGCCTTGAATCTTTGGTTCACAATTGCCAACTCTGGTGATTTACGGGAGTGGTGCTTAAGTCATTGTTTCTTACTCTCAACTAAAATTTGGTTGATTGGTGTGGTTACTATTTAAGATTTGGTTCAAAGAGAATAATCAACTAACAGCATTCTCAGATTTTATCATCAGCAATATAGAACTATCAAGATTATCAAGGAATCAGAAAACACCATGCCTGTCTTAGAGTCAATAATGCTTACCAAGGCCAATAGAAGATGCAACGCCAAGAGCCACCCACCATAATCCAAACTGTATATAACGTAGAACTTCCTCAACATGCTGCACAACATAGAAAAATGTAAGACCATTATAAACATTAATCTAAGATCAAGAAGTTGAAGCAACAACAATCTAGCAAGGAAATGATCCTCCTTTGTCTATAATAGAGATACGGAATCTAAACTTGAAACAACAAACAAGTGACGTAAAGAGCTCTTAAATAAAATAATGAATTCTTTAGGGAGCATCCTAGAACTGTGCCGCATAATATGACATGGTTCCAAAGGAAACAAGGGATAGATGCTTCTTTACCAGTAGGGCAAATCTTCAGCCCCTTCAGAACAATATATATAAAGAATAACAATGAACCGACCGATTTGATTACCTTCTCATGAGGGCCATCAATAGTCACAAGTAGTACCCCAGCTATCGCAATAATGGTACTGAACAGCATAATCCAACCACCATGTGACAAAAGATATGCTACTGAGCGCCTGAGGTACTTAACAACAGCTAGAATGAAAAACTTCAGTGTTCTGACAGGCTGTGTTATCAGAGTCAAATTTTCTAGTTCTTTTTCATGCTTAACACGAAGTCCTGCAAAGAGAAAATTTGACAACTCAAAATAATATGAAAAAAAATCCACAGTGGTAAAACAAATATATAAATACTTCATCTCATTTCCCAGAAATTTGATAATAGTAGGGATGACTGAGAGCATGTTTGGCGAGCTTAAAAAGAAGTACAATTATTTTATAATAACTTATTATTTTCAAACATGTTTGAAAAACTCACTTTGAAGTAACCAACCCAAAAAAAAAAAAAAAAAAAAAAAAAAAAATTAAATTTTTTTTAAAAATAAAAAATTTAAAAAAAAAAATTTTTTTTTTTTTGCTTTCAAATTGAAAAAAGTAATTTTAAAGTTTACCTATTTGCTTATAAGTAAGCGTTTTAACCATAGGCAAGCATGCTCTTATGTACAATTTCTTTTGGGTTTTACATATATCTTCAATAGCTCATATTCCATAGGCCTGTAGTTATGTAGTGTCGCAATAGTTATATAACTGCATCAAAAGTGACATTCTACAGGTATTTCCTTTCTACAAATATACAAAAATATAAAGTCATATCCTAAGGGCTACTTTCTCTATGGACTATGCTAAATAGAGTAAATTCAATTGTACTTTTGATATCATAGATATCAAATACTACCTACCGATCTTCTAAGCTTCTGAGCTAGAAACAAAGTTTGTTAATTTTGCAGCATGAACCTATGAAGCATAGTCATCCAAGAACATTTGCAGCCATATCTAAACACCAGCATTGCTCTTTCCCTTGCTCTCACCGACAAACTAATGATGAAAATCAAACAGAGTATTATTTTTCTCATTGTTGGAATCGTTTGGCAATTTTCTAACCTTTACAAAGGCCGGCATAATTGTGTTAATAAGCAGTCATGCTTCGCTAACCTTAAAAGGTGCTTAGGAGAAATGCATGGCTAACTTTGAAGGGTTCAGCCTCGGACCTATGTAAATTAGTACATAGCAGCATAGTTCGAGAATCAACAGTGTTCAAATTTCAGGAGCTATAGATCATCAATACAACATACCCCACAGCCACGTGTCATAATGTAGAGGAGGCGAAAGAAGGGATAGAGTTGTTAATGTAATACATATATTAGGTTAAGGGTAGTTTAGTCTTTTATATTTCCTTTGTTTTCTAGTATTTAAGCTCATTGTAATCTCATATATTTGCCTTAAGTTTGGAGGCTGCAACAAGAGTTTCTCCATTCTTCACATCTGTTTGTCCTTCTCCTTTGTTTGATTATCAATTTGGTTGGTTATTTTCTACAAGAGTACGATTCACTTACCTCACTGGGGTAAGCGAAATCATTTTTCCCATACTCTCGGAACATACTCATGAGTGAAAAAGTGTCGTGCAGATATGCGTGTGCGCGTGTTCATTTGAATCCCCTAAAATCCGACAAAGGAACCCTAACAATAGCTATGCTCTTGTCAATTGAACAAACTCACAAACTATCAAATTCAAATCATGCAATCGAAAATTCATATTCATATTAAGCTCCTAAGCACGAATCGGCCTTTTCTTCTATCAGTAATATAAGAAAGATCCAACTGTTAAAATAAAATCCCAAATGAAAAATCAAATCTTTTATATACAAAAAATTAGTAAACTGAAAAACTTGCCTGAGATCGACATGTCTTTATCTTCAGACACAGAGAGAATTCTTATTGGAATTTGATTTTTTCTTGGACCCCAAATCTTCTCTATAATCTTTCACATGCCATTTCAAACGCAATTTTCACACGCAATCACCCTTCCGTGTATACGATTGTATATTAATTTGCTCAGGTAAATGTTTATCTGTTGAATCCAAGACTATCGGATTAGAGAGAGAAGAAGAGCATTATTATTGAGAGTAAAATCAATGGATTTTTTTAGAGAGATCCGAGGATTCTTAAGCAAATTGTATAAGAAAAGAAAAAATGAACAAAAAATGGGTGCGCCTTGCGTAAGATCAAACATACGATTAGAAAACTAAACAAACTAGAATTCCTCGAAAATGTGTACAATTATATAAAATATTGGCTTCATTAGCATTCTTTTCAAAACGTATTTTTCCTCAATCTTCTTTTCAACTACACGTTATTCAATAAAATAATATTATACAAAAATTTAAAATTTTTTTTATTTTTTAATCACGCATTCTTCATTAAATTACTATTTCAGATCACTCTTTTTTTTTTTTTTTTTTATTTTGCAAAAAATGAACATCAAACAAGCTATGAGAAGGAAAGCTTTAACCATACATAAATATTATTGCAATCATGCTATAAGTACAGAAATCACATGACGAGATTCATTGAAGAATGATAAAAGAAAAGAAAAAACAAAGCAGACAAATCAAATGTTGCCATTCCGTCAAGAATTCCATGTACTTGGGGCAGTAAAATATTATCCTGTAAAACGTTTTTTTAACCGATTTTTTTATTATATGCAAGAAAATGTAATTGATTTTTTGAACAAAAAATAGGACATGCAGGAAATTCATATTATTTGGTGCAGTCATTGTAAGTGGAACATGAAGTGCGAAGTCAAACTTTTGATTGAGGTGAAGTATTGGCTTCAAAATTGACAAAATCAAAATTAGGTCGGACTTTAAAAACATCCAACAACTGCCAAAATGATATACTACTTTGGCAAAAAATTATTTCTCGCTTAATTTCAACATGAGAAATATTGACATATCTTTGCAAGAAAAGAGATGTCTTGAACAATCGGAGAAGCACTTTGATAAACAGATTTGATCTTGACCGATTCTAATGTTCAAAATTTAATTCTACACGCTTGATCACAAGGCCTAATAGTAGAACAAGATGGCTTCCGCTCGCTATAATGCATGAATTCTAAGGGCCTTTTACATGAGCACGATTAATTCCACCAGTGATTTAACTTAGATGATGGTTGATTTAAATCATTAGCATGACACATAATATCAAAACAACTAGATTTAAAAAGAACATATCTTTATTATTAACAAATTTGTGGGGATAACATGAATTTACTATGTTTGAAGTATGACATATTTGTGAATTTCAATGTATTTAGAGATGAAAAGGACTACTCGTAAAGACATAAATTAGCATGTTTTAATATGATATTTGACCTGAAAATTGTTTTATATTGGACATGAATTCATAGACCCTTTTGATATAAGATTATCATTTAGGATTGTCAAAATGGGTAGGTTGACCTTGATATCTCACCTTCTATCAAATATGATTTGCCACAATGGCATTCTTTCTCGAAATTGGGGAAATCGGATTGAAACCAAATAGAACTGATCGAATCTGTTTTGATGCCTCTACTAAATGCGTCAATTTTGGTCCGTGTATCGAGAAAAAGTCGGTTTCGATTCACTTCTTGGTACTACCTTTAGAACAAGTAGTGAGTTCGGTTCATTAGAATTTCTCTTTTTGCTTGTATCAAGATGTACTAGATTTTTGAATATGAGATCCTATAATTATTTCGAGTCAAAATTTCATTATTCGCACACCTTTTCTGCTTTCCTCTGTAGCAAAACCTAATGGATAATCAAAATTCAAGTCTAAATAATTTTACAAATACTTTACAAATTCATAGCTTTAATGCAATCCAATAGGGAAAATATATATATATATATATATATATATATCCTTCAAGAATCAATATTATTGAAGGTTATTAAAGATAATCGTGTTTTAAATACTACATGTACTTTAATATATATTTTTATATGAATTTTCTTAAGAATTAATTTTATATCGAGATTTTATCGTTTATACTATGTTTAATATTTTATCCTTTTGTTTGCCTTTATGAGTTGATTTTGAGTGAATTCTTATTTGTTGCCTTTTTAATTGATTTTTTGTACTATTAGTTTACAAGAATGACAAATGATTGCATACTCTATTTTCGTCTTTTTCAATTTGATGAGAAGTTTTATACTTTATTTTTATAATTTTTCAATATAAAGAACGGATCGGATCGAATCGGAACCAATTGTTTTGGTTTCGATTTGGTTCTATAGTTGGATATAAAACTAGTGGTTCCATTTTCTAAAATTTTCATTGGCACTTGATTCAGTTTGATACCCTTTAGAATAGGACCGAATTAGATTGCGTCCATTCCTAGGTTCCATTTATGAAATACCTGGAGTATAATAGATGGTTCTAGTTATTGAAATATTCGGACCGACTCACCCAACACTCGGGGCTATAAAGAATGATACGAGTTTAAATTTTATGGTTGAACTTGTATTATTTATTGATTTGAACTTGTATGAAAATAAACATATTAATATTTTAACATTTATACTTAGAATGTCTAAACTTAAGTGTTATAGTGAAATTACAGACCAATACATTTATTTTGTCACTTTTTGAAAAATGTTATTTTATGTTGCAAAAATCGTGATCTAAAACCCAAGCAAATCCCAAAAAATAGTTTGGTTTGATTTGATTTGGAAAATGAATGGTTAGTCTGCAATTTTTCAAACCTTGTTTTGACTTGAGAATAATGCAAAAATCTTTCGACACACGGCTGTAAAAGACATCAAAAACTCTTTTAATTTACTTTTAGCTTTTGGTTTTTTAGTATGACACCCCGGATATACAAATAGATCGTCGGGCATTAAGCTCGATACAATTCATTCATTATCACTGTCCAACTCATGAATTGACCTGATTCAAAACGGGCGAATCTCAATCCAATTTCTCAACCGATGTGTCACCACGGGATTGGGCAACCCAACCCATTTTCACAAACCTAATGTAAAAACAAGTAACAAGATATTGTTGTATATTTTTGAAATCATTGCACTCCATTACCTGGGATGCATACGTCCCATAGAAATTATTTACCTCAGACTGTCAATTGAAACTGTAAACTTGAAAATATTGAAAATTATTAATTAGACAAGGATTAGTAAGCTCGGCCATATTTGATGGGAGTGGCCAGTTTCATTTTAATGGCAACGTTTAGTTATTATTTTACAAAATTAATAACTTGATCGAATCTTAAATCTTGTCCTATGTGGAGTAAAATGTTGGAGATTTTAATAAAGGAGAGATGTTTGGGATCCACTGCACATTAACATCTCCTTAATTTTTAGATGGATAATGTCCGTTTGGACAGAAGCGCGATAGAGCAATGTTGCGTGGAAGTAGAAGATCCTTGGCTCGTGCGTCTCATACACTTTGGTCGTACTTCAAGAATTTAGAGTAGAGCTAATTCCGTCCCTATTAAGTTGAGCAATTTAATCTTATTTGACTTTCCATAAATATCGACATATTTAGCTCAATCATTCTAAGTACAACTTCGAGTTAATTTTTCCAATGGTTACTAAACTTACATCTATGTTTTCGATTCTTCACTAAAATTTAAGATATTGAGTTTTGACCATTCAACTTATCCAAAAGTTGGATGTTACTATATAACTTCCATTTTAAACTACTAACGAAATTGGTGACGTGACTAACAGAATATACTTATGGCTCCTTGTTATGTCGTTAAACTTTGAGGTGGTGAAATTTTGGTCACTAAACTTTGCCAAAGTCCTCGATTGATCACTACACTTTGAAAAATCTTTTATTACTCACTAAACTTTGATATGACCGAATTTTGGCCACTGAATTTTGAGGTAGTCGAATATTGGCCACTAAATTTAAAAAACGTTTTCTATGCTGACAATAAATTTGGATTTAATTAAAATTCCTAGTCAAATTTTGGATTAAAATTTGAACTTAATCCAATTTTAACAACAAATTTATTGTTTGTTTCGTTGCAAGTAGTAGTCACTTTATTTGTACAACTTTGCAAGCGTTGTTGATCCCACGAGGAATGATTACTCAATTATACAAAAGTTAAATTTAATATTAATATATTTTTGTAAAATTTTAAGAAATTTACAAATGCCAAATTTAAGGTAACCACAGCTAACATCACATCCCCATCTTTCTCGTCACAATGAACTCATCAAAATCAGCATAGCAACAATATCCCAAAATTCAAACTTTAGCTCCTCTTCTCCATCCATCCATTGAAAGCCCAAATAAAACTAAACCCATACCCAAACAATAACCAAGCCCAACAGTAAACTCAATTGACCAAAACCCAAGTTAAAACCCAACTCATAATCTATAGCCCAAATAATATTTCCACCCAATCAAACAAGCCCCATTTAACTCAAGCCCAACCTTCAGCCCAATTGCTCACAGATAGGTTAACCTAAAACATATACTACAGGCTACAACTCATATGCCATATAACAAAATACCCAATTAAATTACTGGCTCATTAGCCCAATAACCACCCCAGCAGGCCCAACTAACCAATCCACTAAACCACAAACGCATAAATTTCGACCCAACAAACAAACAACCCATAACTAACCAGCCCAAGTATTATCAACTGGCTCAATCTACATCTTGGGCCCATTTCGACAAACCCATCAACCCGGCTAGCCAATATAAACAAATCCATATTTTATTAACCAAAACCTACATATCATAGACCCAATTTCATACTCTAGTAGTCCAGTGCCCATCTACAGCCCATAACCCACGAAACCAAACCTGGCCCAATCTTCCCAACTTCATCTTCTCCAGCGCTGCCGCTGCGGCTGTAGCTGCATCTCATCGACACCAACCCACATCCAACATTACCGACCACCATATGCGCCACTTCCTACAACCATAATACTCAACCCAACCATTGTTTCGACTCCTAACTCCAGATTCACAAACTATTGTAAACCCTTAACAAATGTCTCCCTCTTCATCTCATTCATTAACAATTTTTTTCAGAAATTATCACTGTAATCCACCCTAGGTAACACCCTTGCCATAGCATTAGCCGCCCACCGGTCATAAACCAAACAAACCAACACCGACCGACCACGCCATGACGATATGACCGAAATGGAGGACAAGGATTCGGGAACTCCAAAGGTCGAACCCCGCTCACCTGAAACCAAAGCCACCTGCTGCAACTACCAAATCACCTGCAGCTTCTCCATTTTTTTTCTCCGCAGCCGCGAA